ATGTATTGATGATACAATAGAGTCGGACATGAGAGTTGATAGTATAACACATCAAATCAAATCAAACGGTTAATTAGCGTGCCGGATACGCAGTATCCCATGATACATCTGAGAGCAACACTCATCAATATCAGACGCATACATAATCTTCATCGCTCGCGTCATTTATCGCTAAGTAGTCTTGTGATTGGCAAGTTGCATTTGAGTACAGCATTCGCAATGGCAACAAGGAGAGTAGAGGCAGACTCCGAGGTAAATGCAGAGTAAACATGCTCGACTGTCACCCTAGCCCCAGCAGTACAGTGCATTAGTAGATGAGAGGCAGAGTCTGAGGTATTCGCTGATTTTTTTCGCTGTATTCGCTGAGAGCAGAGAGGGCACGGATGAGTGCGTTTGAGAGAGAAAGGGACCAACACTCTAATAGCAGTACGGCCGTCTTGACGGTGCATAACGAAATCTTTAAGTGGCAAAGGCAGGGAGGTACCACAGCAAGAGACAGAGTGGTTGCCAATTGATATGCGGGAGGACGCACGAGCAATAGCTTCATCGATAATCTTGTTGGCAGCTAGCAACGACAGATCATGAGCTTTAAGTCTAGTAACGAGCGGTTCGGAGGTAATGCAGTTAAAAATGCTGCTCGAGCAAATACCGACTTCGCTACCAAACGCAATAAACCCACGCCACATCTCCAAGGATTCGTCGGCCATTGTTTTCGATAAAAGAGACCGATGAATTGCATCACAATGGAAAATAGTATTCCATGATTCGAGGGACCTCTTCAGATGGATAGCACTGACTAAGGCACGTGTAATGCTAGATACAGAAAGGCAGTTGGAGTCCAGGTAGGCGAGCCAAGACCAATCTTGAGGAGATTGTTGCAGCAAGTATCGAGAGCACTAGGCTTCGGAAAAGCGAGGTCGTGACCATAAAGTAACGCACTCCATCCAACCGTCACAACAAGTCTCACAACGAACACCGGAGCCATAGCTCGATACACGTGTAGAGCAGCAGAAACCGCAGCAGTCGCCTTGGCTTTCCTGTGTAGAGGAGCCCATAGGACTCTCTTAGAACTCAAAATATTAACTCCAAGGGAAGAGAAGTTAAAGACAATCTCGACCTCGCTATCCCGGAGTATGAACTGAGAATTGGCGGTCTCTCGCAAGCGATTACCAAGGGGAACAACGAAACTTTTCTCCGGTGCATACTGGTTCATGGACCGTTCTGCCCACATCGCAGCGCTATTAAGACTGTTATTCATCTCAGTGACACGTATAGGCAAGTTGCGTCCATGAACTAAGATAGTCTGATCATCAGCAAAGAGAAGACGGTTTATAATCTTGATGATACCATCTGGGAGAACTATCTTGGGCGATAGAGACGGCGTACCAATCGCAAGTGAGGTATTGCATATCTCCATGGATAAGTTGAAGAGAAGGCAGGCAAGAATGCTACCTTGAAGGACGGAACGAGTAACCACGAAGGGTTCCGAGGTACCACAGGCAGTGGCAACACGAGCCTTACGAGGTTTCATCATTGAGGCGAGAAAGTTCGGCAGCCTGCCAATCGACGATAAGCTGCAGATGAGAGGTAAAAGTATGGCAGGTTCAGCGGAATCGTAGGTCTTCCTCAGGTCAAGGAAGCAAGCCAGCAAAATTGAACGAGTTCGTTTAGCATCAGATTGAAGAACTTTGAGTATGAAAGCATGAGTGGCGCAAGAACGACCCCTTCTAAAGGCTGCTTGTTCCCAGCAGAAAAAAGCATAACGTAAGCATAACGCCCTTCGTAAAGTTGCTGAGATCTCCGAGTACTGCGCCAAGTCTGCGTGCAAGAAGCGGAGGGGGGTCCCGGTGAATGTATGCTTTCGATGTGATAATCGACCAAATTTGACGCGGATTCGTTCTGGCTCTCTCAAGCTTCAATCCTCCAAGCTCCTCGAGAGAAGAGCTATAGTGCGACTTGTCGACTCCATCGGCTCGGAGCTTGACATTATCCGGAAGCACGGTACATTACCATTGGAGTTTATTCCGGGCTCTGCTAGCGCTCACGCTGATGCGCTGAGCCGTCTTCTGGATCGTCCGGTTCAGGGTGCCAATGGCCGTTGTCTCGGTGAGGTGCTGATTCCCCGCAAGGGGGCGAGGTGCTGGACACTCGTGAGATCCTAGGGGATGAGTGCTGTCTTATCTTTGACCCGTAGAAACGGAGTGTCGAGTCGCCGTCTCCTGAGGAGATCTTCCTCTGCGACGACTTCCCCGCGAGTGCCGAAGGTTCTCAGCTGTTACAGCTTGCCGCTGATTCATGCTGTTTGTTGTCCGACGATCTGGGGGTGAAATCACAGGCGGTGAACCCATTATTGAGAGTATTGCGAGAGACTGCTATAATCTAGAGTCTGCACTCTGGCGTGTGCGTGTCGTGAGGCTCGTCCTACAAGCGTGGCGAGCTGTGATCGGCAGTGGGACCCCTCCGCAAGCTGACGTCGTCTTTGGGTACGCTGGGGGCCGTATGCGGATCCTGATGCAACAGGTGAGTCCGAGTATTTACTCAGATGAAAAAATCAGATGGTGAGTATTAACCCCAGATTCGCTGATTTTTTACTCTGGAGCGAGAAATCAGGATCATCGCGATGATGTGTGAATCTCCGAGCTGATTCGCGAATCTAAAGTTGATCTTTTGGCTGATTAATACTCTCACTCAATATGCCTTGCTCATGAGGCTGATTTTTCGGGTGATTCCATTGAGTCTGAGTATTTTCGAGAATCAGGGAATCAGAGTTTGGATCAGACATTTTTGACAAGACGATTGAATATACGGGGTGTTCAGAGAACCCATTCCGAAACTCAGAACACATTCCAGAATGCAAAACACCAAAATCGCGTTCAGAGAACAGCCCCCCAAACACATTCTGGAAAGAGTTCCAGAATAGATTCCGAACGTGTTCAGAAAACTTGAGAATGCATTCTGAAACACGTTCCAGAAAGCGAAATTTCAGAATGCGAAAACTCCTTTCTGAGAATTTTGTGGCGCGCGGGAAGCTACCACGTTCGGCAACAAATCAAGGGATTTGCACAAGTCGTGGAACTCGTTTTGTACAAGTTCCCGTGATTTTCCTTGAACAAACTTGTACTCAAGCCTCGATGGCACTGGAAAAACGAATACGTTATTTAAAATGCATACTAATCAACTTAATCTTAATCCCTTCATCTACCTTGCTCAGCTTGGCTGACGAAGCCCAACCAGATAGCTAAGTTCTGTCTTCGCTTGCGGGCAAGCTGCTTGAAGCCCGCAGCCGTCCTCGCGTTCTGTAATGTCGCTGGATCGTCCCGCAAAACGTCTCTCTCGACTGCTTCTCGGACGGACGTCTAACTGGACTTCTTCTGTGGTCCATATCGGTCGTTTGCTCGAACTCATAATTCAAGCAGCGGAAGTACTTCAGAAATACGTGGAAGTTCAGAGTGCGCTGTGGGCGGAGCGAAGAGTTGCACGTTACGAAAAACTACAGTTTCCATTCCAGAATAGATTCTGAGAACTCATTCTGGGAGCGGGATTCGTTGAACGCGTTTCGGAATCGATTCCAGAATACATTCCGGAATATTTGGGAATGGAATCCTCTGAACACGATCCGGGAATCGATTCTGAGAATCGATTCTAAGAGTACTTTCTGGAATGGATTCCGGCGGAATTCTCTGAACACCCCGACATTTTCAAGAAAGAAGTCACCCTCACTTTTCGAGCGTAGAACCTGGTAAACTCGCCCCAAATGCATGAACCTTTCCCGTTCCGCTATAGCAATGACAAAATTGAGAAAGAAGATCTTTTGTCGCACGTGTACACATCTGTACTTCAAACTTTTCAATATGTTCACTCGGAATCCGACAATCCCTCAAGAGGATCGATGAAGGGCATTTATTGTTTTTATGAATAATTAATTAAATAAAGGAATGCGTAATTCACACCTTGTGGTTGCATGTACTACGTGCGCTAAACCTCCATCCACCGTTACGTTTCGTGCGATCCCATAGCTTAACTGGTTAAGGGTGTGCTTCCACGTGCTCAAAACAGGGGTTCTATTCCCGGGCAGGGTCATACTGATACTCTGTATGCACTACGTGCGCTATAGTATAGCTATACCTCCTTGCACCGTCTTATATTGTATGATTTTACAGCTCAACTGGTCAAGGATACACTTTCACTTGATCAAAGCTGAGGTTCTATCCCCCGGCACGGTCATTCTAAGCATTTAAGCCATCGCAAGCAGCAGAGGAGGTTTACCGTGGCGCGCGCTGAAGTCGTGAATCAAGGTCGAGAATCAGAATTAGGGTTTGGTACCGGGGGTCCGAACCCCGGTACGAATCAAGGCAAAATAACGTGGAAAAATGGAGATACTCACGGCGTGAGTATGATTCGGAATCACACGCTGAGTAAAAATCTGATTCTCAATCTTTGGCGTTCTCGAGTTGAGTAAAATACTCACGAGTAAGAGTTTTGAATCACAATCACGTTGAAAAAATCTAGAATCATGATTCATACTCACTGGGTTGAGTAAATACTCTGACTCGTTGATTCACAATCAGAATCAATGGCTGAGTATGATTCTGAATCAGGAATCATGATTCTGAATCAAGAATCGAAATCAACGCTTGAGAGAAATCAGGAATCAGGAATCGTACTCGCGAATCCTGAATATGAATCTGGAATCAGTAATCATACTCACGAATCATGAATCTTACTCATGAATACGGAATCTGAATCAACACTTGTGAATCATGGTGTGAGTTGAATCAAAATCGAAAATCAGATAGTGAGTTGAATCAGTGCCTGTTGCACACGATATCTCGTGAATAGTCGACACATCTATCCATCTCTCTCTGTCCCCTTGTGCCAGTGTTACCAGCGCTGGCCCTGTTGATCGATATCCTAAGCTCTGCTTAGCTTCTATGTGACATAGTCTAGCGTTGCCTATGGCAACTTGCCATACTACTCGATAACTACCTAATCATTTCCCTATGACTGAGACAAGTGTTACTTCAAGTGGGGGTGAGGGAGGCAAGACGGACAAAGACCAGCAGCATGGTGCACCGCCCGGTATTCTTGTCTCTCAAACCTCTTCTGCCCTCTTCTCTGCTGCGTTGCGTGATGCAGCCCGTTCTACTCTTGGTAATGAAGGTGAGACTCCTTCATTATCCCTGGCTGAGCTAGTCGCTCTATCTCCTGTGAAAGTTTGTGAAGAACTTTTAGGTTTCTCCATTCATTCTCCTGCCTTAGAAAATCTTTTTTTCATTGGCACTAATGGATCGAAGCTTGGTGTCAGCCTTTCTGGCTTCAGCTCTGCATGGAATCTACCTCCTCATCACGAGGCTTATTATGATGCTACGTTGTGGAATGCCATTAAGCCTAAGACCGGAACTGTCAGTCCACGTTTCACGTATGAGCGCTTTACGCGAACATTGTCTCTATCCCTTTCGGAGTGTGTTGGAAACACTGCTCCGATTCGTCTATATGCTTACTGTGGGTTTCTGCCAAGACCTATTGCCGACACCATCAAGACTGCCCTTCTCTCCAAAGTTTCTCCCGATGGAACTGCAGTGGATGGTAACTCTGATGTTCTGGTGTGGCGTCAAATTCAGAAGATCACCTTTAAGCCCAAAGATGAGATTCCAGCAGATGAACTCCGCGTCCTTTACCAACGTTATGTTGATAGTTGCCAAGGTATCCTCAACAAGGCTGATGCTCAACTCAAGGAAGTCCAAGAACTCGAGTTGCCTAATCTTAGGCATCCTCTTAACCTTTTGAAGCAATGGGCATCTCTACCACAAGCTATCGAGCATGGCGATAGTCTGGTTCGTACGCTCGAGCGAGAGAGGCGCATCCAGTCTAGGTTGGCATCCCATCCATCTGGTGTGATCCTTACCTGGGCGACGAGGCGTCTGCTCTACGGTGCTCTCCTCCGTGCGACTCCTCTCTTTCATGATTCTGATATTGGTTTTGCTGAGTTTATTGATACCCTTGAGCACTCGGCACAGGGTGACCCTGATACCTTTCTTACAGCCTTATCGAAGCTGGCTAAACGTGGTGGTTACTGCTCTATTGACAAGTTTCTCAAGTTGAAGGGCCGTCAACAGCAGCGTACGGCAAGCAGTCATCCTCCACTCCAAGGAAGAAAAAGGTCTTGGTTTGATACGAAGAAGCCGACTAGTTCTGCTCGTTCCTGGTTTGCTCCTCAACCCCAAGGACCTCGTTCGTATTTTGGATCGGCATCCTCCTCGACTGACATCAAGAAGCAGACTGATGTTCGCCAAACTCCTCCTCCTCCTCCTGCAAAGCGACAGCTCACCTCGACATTGGGTTCCCGTCAACCTTCTAAGAAGCCAGTCACCTGCTACAGGTGTGGACGTGAAGGGCATTTTGCCTATGCTTGCCCTTCTAGGAAAGACAGTAAGAGTGACTCCTCTGTCGAATTGACTCCTCGTCCGAATGTCAATAAATTGAGCGCGAAAGGTGTGACTCCTTCTACTGCTGTTTCCTTGCAGATCACTCATTCCCTTCTAACAAGTCATCTGCGAGTACTAGCGGAGCAACCCAACTGCGAAGATGAAGTTGTTAGGGTTGCTTTCGATACTATGAGCTCCGTAAACTTGTTAACTGTCTCACTGGCCCAGCGATTGGGTTGTTCAATCATAAGTGATGAGACTAGACTGACCTCCCTGGGTAATCAGTCCAGCCCTGGGAAGGCGACAAATGTGCGTTTTTTCATTGTTGACAAGGGAATTGTCAAACTGCACTGTTTGGTGGTAGATGACGATGCCTTACAGCGATCCTGTGATTGTGAAGCTCTCGTTGGTTTTCGTGATCTAGAACGAATAGGTGTCCAAGTTTCCACTCCTCGTTCTGTTCATGCTCCAGCTCCAACGGACGCTCCTTGGTCTCTTCTGGAATCTACTGCTGTCGATTACCTCCACTCCAAGCTCAACCAGTGGTGCCCTCTTGTCGGTGCTCCTCTTTTCTCTAGCCGCCTCCGACCTCTATCGTCCACCGATCATGGTGATACTCCTCAACAAAAGTGGGTTTTTGAGGTATCTTGGGCTTCCCTTTCAGCGACATCGACTAGTGCTGCCTCTGGAAGAGTACATGATTTCTCCCCTGGACTTCTCGCTAAGCTGTCGACCGAAGCCCAAAGTGAGTTTTGGTCCGAAATACGGAAATTCCGTGATAAGGGATGGTGGTTCGACTCCCCTCCATCCAGTTCTGAAGTGATTTCTCCTCCAGTCTGTACCTTTCCTGTGGTTCAGTCCTCTCTGAAGTCGACAAGGGTGCGACCCTGCAGTGATTGTAGGTCTCTCAACCGCACCCTTTGTTCTGCTACCTACCTAGGGCGAACCGTAGGTACTATGGCAGACATTATTCGAGCAAGGTATCGAGAGCATTATGATGTATGCTTCTTGGATTTGGAAAAAGCCTTTTTGAGGCTTCATATCGCCTCCCCTAAGGTGATCAAAGTATTGGTGGGAAACCAAGCTTTCTATAGCGATAGAATTCTCTTTGGACTAAAGCATGGTCCAAGCTCTCTGAGTTCCTTCGTATTACTGTTACTAAATGCTTGTTTCTCTGCCTTGCTTCAGAGACCAGTGAATGAGTCTTCGATTGATTCCTTTGCCAATCTTGTGGATGGCTTGATTGTGCTCAATTACTATGATGATCTGATTCTGATGGGTGAGAAGCCTTTAGTCGAGCGTATGCGTCATCTCCTTTCTGTTACAGCAAGCCTTTGTGGATCCAATTTCCCCGCTGAGAAGTGTGACGACTTACGTACGGTACCCGCTGCTTGTCGCCATCTTGGCCTACTCTGGAAGATTACTGATGATCGTCTGGTGATCAGTTGTGTGAAACCTGATCCCGTCGATTTCTCTCTTCCTCAGGATGGCATCTTACGAGTTTCACGACGTCGAGCATTTATGTTGGCTGGTCGTAAGTTACGACTCGTAACTGTGATCCCCTTCGTTGTCACCAGATGGTACGCTTGGGGGGCGACTATCTGCGCCATTGGTTCGGTTCATCCCCAGGAGGCTCCCGTCGTTCAGCGTGGGATAAACAGTGGACCCTCAATCAACAACAAACTCAGGCTTATCAGTATGCATTGTCTACTATAGATGCGGCTTGCCTTGGTGAGTGTTGCCACCATACTATTCCCCTTGATCACCACGTCTTGGTGGTACACTGTGACGCTAGTTCGTCAGGTTATGGTTATTGTATCCACTCAGTTGCTGACGATGAGTCTCTCTGGCCTGAGCTGAATGACCCCTCACGAGTTCTCCTTGAGGCTTGTGCTGGGAGTTTTCAGCTGCGTGATCGCGAGAAGCGTTGGCACATCAATCGTAAGGAGGCTCTTGTCTTATATAAAGCAAGTGTCGCAGCAAAACATTGGTTATCCTGCTTCACTCCTCATTCTCCTCAAGTTCAGCGTGTAATATTGTTCAGCGACAACTCTAGTGCTGTTCACTGGGTGACCCAGCTTACGGTCGGTACTAAAAGTTACGATCGCATTGTTATTGAACGGTTATTAGATCTCTTCGATTCGCTCCTAGGCCATATTCGCGATAAATATGGCATACAGTTCGAGTTTCGCTATATTGAAGGTGCGAAAAATCTTTTCGCTGATAACCTCTCTCGTCAAGCTTCTTTGTTCCCAGAGTTCC